TTAAAGAACCCTAACCCCTAAACCCCTAAACCCCTAAACCCTAAACCCTAAAACCCTAAACCCTAAACCCCTAAACCCCTAAACCCCTAAACCCTAAACCCTAAACCCTAAACGCCTAAAGCCTAAACCCTTAAGAGCTAATGGGGAACCTAGGTGTTCTACCTCGGCCCCACGCAAGATGGCGGCCGCACGACCACTCTGCTGAAGGAGCGGCCGGGAGGTGAGAGCAACACCACCGAGATGCTGAACTACTTCTACAAGCCGACTCTGGGCCCTGTTCTTGAACATGGGGGTCTCCTTATTAAAGAGCCCTAAACCCTCAACCCTAAACCCTAAGCCCAAAACTACTTCAGCAAGTCGACTCTGGGGCTGCTCTTAGTGTTTAGGGTTCAGGGTGTAGGGCTTAGGGTTCAAGAAACTGCTTCTACAGGCCGACTCTGGGGCCGTGTTCTTGAACATGGGGCTTTGGGTTTAGGCTTCAGGGTTTAGGGTGTAGGGTTCAGGGTTCAGGGCTTAGGGTTTAGGGTTCAAGGTTTAGGGTTTTGGGTTTTCCGCATAGTAGGCCTTAGAGTTTTCAAGCGCTTGGAGGTGGCTTTTATTTTGTGGTATAGCACAGTGACAGAGATTTCTGCCTTAAACCCTAAGCTCCAAATGCTAACCCTAAACCCCACACCCTAAACCCTAAAACCTAAACACAGACAACCCGGCAAGAATCCCAGGAACGCCGAGCTGAAGCTCTATGTCAAGAACATGCGCAAGCGACCGAGCACCTTTGAACGTTAGGGTTTAGGGATGTTTAGGGTTTAGGGGTTTATGGGTTTAGGGTTAAGTGTGTAGGTTGGTCGGGTTTGGGGTATAGGGTTTCAGAGTTCAGGGTTTAGGGCTTTCGGGCCAGGGTTTAGGGTATAGGCTTTGGTTTGCATAGTTCGGGATTCAGGGTTTGGGGTTGGGATGCGCTTTCCTCGCGTTCGTCTTGGGATGGGCTTTGAGGGTATCGTGTCTCCATTTCAGGTCCTCAGGAAGACCGTAGGACCAACATATCTATCATACCGGTACTTAATAAATCGTAGCATGAAGGGCTGAGTAGTACGAATCCTTAGACGCTCAAAAAGTCGTAGGTTAGGTGCAGCTGTATTCATAGTTTAGGGCTTATGGGGCTTAGGTTACTCCGTCAGGGGTGTTTCGGAAATCACGGGACCCGAAGCAGTGGCGATGTTTGATGTAGGAGCCCGGATCTATGCCTAGTTTACGCGCCCAAGATCCCAAAAAACGCAGCAAGCCCAGGAATCCAACATTACCCAAACCCCTAGAAGCTCTGTATGAGCCCCTCAACACCCTCTCCCCCAAAAAACAAGACCACGAAACCGATCAAAGCCCCAAACACCACAGCCTCCTAGACCCCGCCCCCGTCAAGAGCCCTTAAAACCACACAGAAAAAAACACAGATCCGGGGCTGAACCCTGAACCCCTAACTTAGACAGCCACTGGGCGAACTTTAAACTTTTTGGCCTTGTATATTAGGTCGAACTTTTTTGGGCCTGGTTGTTGAAGAAGAGGGCTAAACTCCCAGACCCATCCTAGATCCTAAACCCCAAGCTCTACTATCCTTGCCCCTAAGCTCTGGCCCCGACATCCCAAACCCTATAACCCTAAACCCTACCCATAGGCTCTATAGTAGTTCCTTTTGGGGGTTCATATTTAGGATCCTATAAGGTAACCCCCAAAAAGGAACTACTATGGAGCCTATGGGTAAACCCTAAAACCCTAAACCCTAGAACCTTAAACCCTAAACCCTAAACCCTATAACCCTAAACCCTAAACCCTAAAACCCTAAACCCTACAACCCCAAAACCCTAAACCTCAAAACCCTAAAACCCTAAACCCTAAAACCCTAAACCCCAAACCCTAAAACCTTAAACCTTCAGCCCTAAACCCCAAAACCCTAAGCCCAACAAGCCCGAAAGCCCAGTATCCCAGGCCTGCTGCTGAAGCAGCCACGTGCCTTTCCGGAGGAAAGGGATGGACTCTTCGCCCAGCGCACCGGTGCCACCTGGGTGTCTTATCTGAAATACGGTTGGTGATAGAAATCCTGCATGACCTTAAGGACCCTAAACGATGGGAATTCTGGTATATTCCTTATTATGGGTCATGCAGGGTTTATATCATCAGCCGTAGTAATTAGGGCGTCGGGTCTAGCCTCCCCCGAACCCTAAACCCTAAACCCAAAGCCCTAAGCCCGAAAGGCACTGGACTGGGAGACACAGCTGCTCGGCGTGGGGGAGGCGGTGCCCGCACGGCCCCTTCGCTTGGCGATCTAGCAGGTTTTAGGGTTTTAGTGTTTAGGGTATAGGGTCTACTGTTGCTTGCTTTACTTACTATAGTTTCTTAGAGTTTTAGAGTTTTTTCGGGATGTCAGGATTTTTGGGGTTTAGGGTACGCTGAACCCTGAAACCAGGAAGCCCTTATCCCGGCTTTTGAGACTTTCCGGGATAGCTGTGGTTATGATGGTAAGACTTACAACAGCACTAGTGTATTAATCATCAGAATTACCAACAAAATCAAAGTCCAATAATAAGGATCTCGTATAGCCAGAAGGTGCTGAGCACATGCTCCTACAATAATGGCCGTTGTCGTCACGACGATCATCATCACCATGGTCATGACCGTTATGAGCATCATGATGATCATCATCATCATCATCGTCAGCCTGGACATCCATACGCATCAAGCTTAATGATGGTGCTAACAACAGAAATAGAAAGCGACACTCGCAATAGCAATACTGAGCATACTGCCGATAGTCACAGTTTGGGTCATATAGCAAGAGCAATGTAATGCAGTTGCTAAGAAATTTTCCTTCGGGTTCCTGCTATAATTGTTTCGGTATAAGATTTTTTCCGAAAAAAGCCTTGTGCTGACCATTAGGGCCTTTGTAGTAGATAGTCTCACATAGTCTTCCTGCCCAAAAGAATTCCCTATGCTGCTAATTAATGCCCCTATAGTATGCCTTGCTTTGCCCGTAAACCCTAAACCCTAAACCCTATGCCTTGCGTTGCCAGGCCGCTCGTCATGCAGGTCGGCGACACCTTGATCCTGGAGGTCCCACAGACCGACCAGAGCGGGGAGTACAGGCGGGGAGTATACGGGCTTGGGGTTTAGGGTTTAGGGTTTAGGGTTTAGGTGAGTAGCCTTTTGTTTCAGTTGGGTTGCTTCCGGGCCCTATAAAATATTAACAAAACAAATTATTAACTGCATCTCTAACTGCATCACCCTTATGAGAGACTTAGAAAACCCTAAGACAACGATAACAGAAGTGTAATTAGAGGACCCTATACTTATGGGTGGTGGGTTGTCTGAAGCAGCTCTAAGAATTTCTGTGCGTTTCCTCTGGCCGTGAACCCCAAATGCTCTGGACTACGTTCAAGCTAGATATATCGGGATCGCAACATGATGGAGCTCTTTGAAGGTGATAGTATAGTGTTGGTAGGAGGAGGAGGAGGAGGGGAAGGAGTCGCAGTACGCCTAAGAGCTGGGATTGTCACAACAAGCTCCAGGTACATGGTGAGTGTCTACATGGACAAGACCGATGTGCTGAGCAAGCCCGTGAACGAGGCTGGACCCCGCCAACTCCAAACCCTAAGCCCCAAGCCCAAGACCCCAAAACAAAGCCCTAGGCCCATCTTTCAGGCCAAAATCAGCGCATGCCCCAGAAAGCTCAAGCCTAAGCCTAGCCATAGGCTTATAGCAGTTCCTTTTTGTGGTTATATTCAGGATCCTATAAGGTAGTCCACAAAGGAACGAACATGGAGCCTCTGGGTAAAGACCAGGTAGTTGAGGTCAAGGCGACCCTAAACCCTAAACCCTAAGCCCTAAACTCTAAACCCTAAACCCTAAACCCTAAACCCCTAATGCCCCAAAGACCAGGTCATTGAGGTCAAGGCGCCGAAGAAAGGGAAGAAGGGGGGACCCGAACCGGACCCGCTGCTGCAGCTCACCTTCGTGGCCCTGCAGGTCGCTTTCTTCGCAGGGTTTGTGCAAGTAAACCTTAGGCCCTAAGGCTCCATGAGGGGTTTAGGGTTTGGGATTTTGGGGTTTTGGGGTTTCGGGGTTTAGGGGTTTAGGGGTTTAGGGTTTAGGGTTTAGGGTTTGGGGTTTGGGGTTTGGGGGTTGGGGGTTTAGGGGTTTAGGGTTTAGGGTTTAGGGTTTAGGTTACCTATAGTCTCCATTGTAGTTCCTTCTTTTGGTTTAACCAAATCTATATTAAGGATCCTAAACGGTAACCCCAAAAAGGAACTACAATGGAGACTATAGGTAGGCTCCATAGTAGTTCATTTTGGTGGTTTATATTTGGATCCTATAAGGTAATACCAAGAAGGAACTACTATGGCGCCTATAGGTATAAAGCTTAAACCTGAACCGTAATATGCAATACTTAAGTTCCCTCGATCGGGTGATTTGGCTTTCCAGGAATGTTGCGGCATTTGGGTGCAGAGTTCAACTAGGGCATGAGCGTTTAACAATTTTTGGGTTTAGGGTTTGGGGGTGCCTACTGTGGAGGAAGCCTTTGTGGGTGTTGTGGAGGAGTTTGGCAGTTGTCGTGAGGCGAATGTTTCATCGAAGCCCGAGTCAATAACCCACCGGGTTTCTATATAACTAGAGCTATATGGGTAGTTTCTTTAGATCAGGGTCACTTTTGGGTCCTTTCTGTAAGGGTGCCGTACTATTCGGGGGACCTAAACAGGGGCCGTAATTTAGAGGACTACCCATATTGAATGCTATTGCTCTACTTACTCCGACCTTTTATACTAGAGGCTGCCAAGGATTCGGAGAGTGCGCAAAGTGAAGTGAGCGGGCTGCTGTCTCCATGCTATGTCCCTGGCCCCTAACATGTGGATGCCAAACTTTTATGCTTGAATATATTGTAAACGCCAAGCTATAAACCGTAAAACTTGAAACCCCTAAACCCCTTAGCCTTTCACCTAGAATCCTTAGATCCTAGACTGAAACCCCCCCAGCACCAAACCACAAATCTTATTAGACGAGGCCCTACCTGAGATTCTAATTACCTACAGTTTTATCGGTTGTACTTGCTAATTAAGGGGTAACGGCTGCTAAACTGTAGGTAAAGAGAGTGTTGAAGTGGAAGCTGGAAATTTCTAAGATCATCCTCATACCTCTGAGGTACAGTATAGGCAATCCCAGCACGAATCATGGTTTATGCGTATTCCGCGTGGAGGAAGGCAAGTCTGTGATCTTCGCGGACGTGAGCTGGGAAGATCAGGAGATGCTGCGGGTTGCGTAAAGGTTCCCTCCAGGTTTCCCATAGGGTTTAGGGTTCAGGTTTTAGGAATTTAAGGGGTTTAGGGTTTAGGGATTTAAGGGGTTTAGGGTTAGGGTTTGGGGCTCCGGGGTTAGGATTAGGACTCGGGGGTTTAAGAAGTTTGGTTGACGGTTGTAGGCCTGCCACGGTGAGGTGGGCCTGGTCGGGGTTCACAGGGGAGTTTGAGGGCTTTATTAGGGTTTCGGGTTTAGGGTTTAGGGTTTCAGGGCTGTTTTTGGCTATTTTTGGTTTGGGTTTAGTACCTATATGTGTTGAACATTTCGTTTTGGCTTCACGCTTGCATCAGGGTTCACGGTTTTAGGGCTCGAGCTCGATTTCAAGGTTTGGGGCTCAGGCGTTAGCGATCGAAGAGTCTTTGATTGGGCTGAGGTTCTTTTCATGGGATACGGAAGCTATGTTTCGGTTGTACGTGTTTGTAGGGAATCAACCAAGGAGTCCATAAATTCGATAGACTGCCGTTCTCAAAGCAACGCAGAAACAGTGTATTCCGCAAGGTCATTCCGTGATTGCCTACCGAGAGCCAAACCCTAAACCGCGAGAGCGCTAGACCCCAGAACATCCCCGTCAGCAGAGATATGGTTGTGATCACATTTATACCCTTGATGCCCCGAGTAAAGACAAGAACACAAAGTCAATCTTGACAACGACAACATTCATAACATAAACCTATAGCTATGTATCAATAGCAGTGCTAATATCAACAAGAAACCAAATGGCAATAGCTAAGTCCTCATAGCATATCAACAATAACACCATTAACAGTCATGATAGCAAAAACACCACCACAACAACACTCATAACACTAATCTCAACAACAATACAGTATTATATTAACTTCGTGAATAATCTCATACGCGTAACATTTGAGAACCCCGTGCCTGTCCAGATGTTGCTCACACTCAACCGAGGCCCAGACCGTCGTCATAAGCCCAAAGCCTCAAAGTCTAAGCCCTAGGCCCTAGGTGATTTAGGGTCTAGGGATAGGGTTTAGGGCTTAGGGGCTTATAGGGTTTAGGGTAGCCCAAAACTCGACCGATGGGTCGAACTCTCAGCTTCCACGAGGAAGAGAAGCTGTGCTTGACGCACAAGCTCCTGGCCCCAGTCTCCAAGAATACGGTGGCCAGGACAGGCTTGACTTGCGATTGAGGGTTTAGGGTTTAGGGTTTTAAGGGTATTTAGGGTTTTTTTTATGGGTTTTTGGGGTTTTTAGGGTTTTTGAGGTTTGGGGTTTAGCGGTTTTTCTTGGGAAGCTGTGTTTGATGTAAATCCCGAGCCCAATATCCATAAAAAAGCATTGAAAGAACTGAACCTTCAAGAGTTGCAGCTATCATGCTTTGTGCTTGTGGAAAATGAGCGGCTCAGCAGAGCATGTAGCGTCTTAGAGACCGTTTCTGCAGTTCTGATTATCTCCTGCGGCTGTGAATGGGCAGTTGTGGTGCTGCGGATTCCAGGTTTGTGGCTGCACCAGGGTAGTTCTCCAAATTCGGGTCCTTTAGGGCAAGGTTTAAGCAGGGGGTGGGGTGGTCAAGGGCTCTACAGCTTAACACCAGACCCCCTAAACCCTAAACCCTAAACTCCCTAAACCCTAAACCCTAAAACCTAAACTCCCTAAACCCTAAACCGTGGCAAAGTCCTCCTAATCCCGAGCTGCTTCCATCGGGCCCCCAGCCCTAGACATTTGTTAAACCCCTAAAGTCTAAAACCCGAAACTCCACACCCTAAGCCCTAAACTCTAAACCCTTAAACCCTAAACCCTCAAGCCCTAAACTCTAAAACCCCCAAAACGCCCCAAGCTCTAAAGCCCTAAACTCTAAATCCCCCCAAAAAACCTAGCCCTAGAGCCTTAAAACACCAGACCCTAACCCCTAACCCCTAACCCCTAAACCCTAAACCCTAAACCCTAAACCCTAAAGCCCTTAAAGCCCTAAAGAGCCTTTCAAAACAGCCCACAGGATCGGACCTATGGAGGTGGAGATCCAGAAAGCGGTCGGCGGCAAAGGGGACAAGGGCGCCTTGGGGAGTCCCAAGCACCGCTTTGTTTTTGCTAGGGGTTTTAGGGTTTAGGGTTTAGGATTTTTGGGGCTTCAGGGTTCAGGTTTAGGAGTTTAGGGTTTTAGGGTTTAGGGGTATGGGGGTTAGCTGGGAATCCAAAAACCTACCGTTTTAGGGGTTCTACGGTCTAATTGAGGGGTCATAACCTACTATTTTGTAGGTTTGGGGTCACAGGTAGGGGTTTGGGTTTAGGGTTTAGGGTTTAGGCCTAAACCCTGGTGGGTCCACAAGGAACCCGCGGAAAAGTATGGCACCACCAGCAAACATGAGGTGCATCACTTAGGTCACAGCCCTTAGTGTTAACAATGACTCCTTTCTGCTCCCACAGTGCGCCTAAAAGCAAAACCATCCAGCCATGTTTGCCAAGAAGGTTTAACCTTCTCGGAACGGATTAGATGATGTAGACGTCATCATGGTTGGGCCATGGATGATCTCTTCTCAGGACGGATTAGACAACGGACGTCATCACGGTTGGGGCATGGATGCTCTCTGCTCAGACCTGATTGTACCATGAATGTCATCATGGTTGGGCCATGGATTCTGGATGCTCTCCTCTCAGAACGGATCAGACCGTGGCGTCATCATGCTTGAGACATGGAGCCTCGCTTCCCAGAACTGATTAGAACATGGACGTCATCATGGTTGGACCATGGATGCTGTCTTCTAACTATGGTGAAGAAAGATGTTACTCAGACCCAGGGCAGAAGCGGAAGCAACAAGAAAGGGCCTTAGTTACGTACACGTCTCAAGTGTGAAGCAGATCAGAAAACCCACAAATATCGGTGGAGTTTACGGATGCCTTCAACAGAATCACTGAATTTCAACATTAAATGGCAAGGAGAAGGGAATGGCCCGAAGCAAGGAAACAGTGGTATTTACGGGGATTCTGAACCACAGAAGTGAAACCCTAACCCCAAACTTCCTTAAACCGTATGTATGTGTACATGTTTTTGTATAAGATGCACATACATATATGTATATACACATACATGTACACTTTACATTCACAAAATTCTATATATATATATACACACATACACATAGCACACACACGCATCCATATAGACTGTTTTATTACTTTGGTGCTGTGTGTTTGTTTTTTTTGGCGTTGTGGATTTTCCCGACCGGAACTTGCGGCATTTCTGAAACCATACAGTTGATTATTTCCGTCTTGTGAGATTCTTTGTGTCCCTAAACCCTAAACCCTAAGGAAATTTACGAAGGCGCATGAGAAGTTTGAAGGCAGAGTTGGTGGTTCGTAGAGATACCATCGACTTTTTGCAAGGAGTGGGATCTGGTTGTCCAGGCTTCCCGGGTAGTATGGAAGCCTTAGCCGCCTTAGCCTAGGGTTTAGGGTTTAGGGCTTTAGGGGTTTAGGGCTTTAGGGGTTTAGGGTTTAGGGGTTTAGGGTTTAGGGTTTCGGTTTGGGGTACTTACTCATCTTGTTCCTCAAGGTTGCGTTGCTTGTTGTGCTAGTCACTAGTCTTATGATATATACCTCGAAACCCATCTATGTATTGCGGTCCCTGCATTGCGGAGCCAGGGCTCATTTTCGAAGTGCACAATGTGCAGGCACCATGTTTGTTGCGGTGTGAACCTTGTACGGCTTGGTTCTTGAAGCCCTAAACCCTAATCCCTAATCCCTAAACTCCGAAACCCTAAACCCTAAACTCCTAAACCCTAAACCCCAATCCCTAATCCGTAAACCCTGAACCGACTCCTGCCCCCTGCATCACCGAGTCTGGGCCGTGAACAATAGACAGAAAGTCTGAACCCTATTTGGGGGTTTCCAGTTCAGGGTTTTGGGGGTTTGGCTTTGAGACTTAGGGTTTAGGGTTTGGGGTTTAGGGTTTAGAGTTTGGGGTTTGGGAACAAGGGTTTAGGGTTTAGCCTTATAACACCCTTATGCAATCGATCACGCCCCTTTTTTTATGACACCCGTGTGCACCTGCATAGAAATTTAGTTTACGAGCCCTCACACACAGGTCATCTACCCCGAGCCCCAAAGCGCCCGCTTCTGTCTGAAGGCGGACCCTAAACCCTAAAAGCCTAAACCACAAATCCGAAAAGCCTAAGCCCCAAACCCTACTCTAAACCCTTCGTCTTTGGTCTTCAGGTGCGCTCCAGTGGTGGACTGGCGACAAGTGGGCAGGCAAGAAGAAGAAACCTAAGAAGTGACCGAGTTGATATCTTATTGCTATGAAGCTCATCATTCTGATCTTCATGGTATGATAGTATATTGCTGATCTCACACCATGATTTGCAAACAAGCTTGGTATCATTGCTACTGTAGCTTGATTATCCTCAGGTTTAGCACAATACCCTAGCTTGTGTGAACACACAGTCGTAGTGACAGAATTAGTACCATTGAGTCCCTGCGGGCCATCGTCGTCTCTCAAAGAGAGTCCATCTGGCCGCATTGCTGCACGGATCCACAGGATCATTCGGGGATTGATCTGCAAGCGCTAAACCTTGAACCCTAAGCCCATTATGCACTGCCCTAAAGCCCTAAACCCAACACCCTCAACCCCGAACCCTGTACCGGAAATCGGAAAGCTTGATGTGCATCTTGACACCATTTAAAGGGTTTTGGGCCTGTAACCCCCGACATCCTAAATCTGAAGGACCCAAATTCATGCCAGAGGGGGACTAGGATTGAGTGCCTACCGTGACCAACTAGTGAATCCCTAGAGAAAGTTGGAGCATGGATTTAGGATGAGTAGTGCTGGAATCTCCCATACCTTACCTGAAGGGCATGGGGGGAATGTTGTTCCAACTACCTGGCTTCTACTACAAGCGTAGTTCTCTAAATTGGGATCCCTTCTAGGGGCCTTTTCAATATAGGTGCCGTACTACGTTGAGGATTTATAAGAGGACCCGAACTTGGAGAACTACCCAAGACTTAGACTTGATCAATTCCAGAGCTCTGGACTAAACCGTGCCATCAGGGTCGCTCCTAGGAGACGTCGGAGCTAGCCCTCCAAAAGGAGATAATGAAGTTACGGTTTAGGGTTTAGGGTTTAGGCAGCCTAACCCTAAAGCCCTCCCAAGAAGATGCTTGCAAAAGACCCCTGGGGGTTTGAGGGTTTAGGGTTCAAGGGTTTGGGGTTTAGGGGAACCTTGGGGGGTATCTCAATTCTTCTCCAGGCACTCCCTGCCATTTCCAGGCCCCAAACCCCAAAACCCAAAAAGCCCCGAGCCCCGCAGTCAGATTTGGACCTAGTTCTGCAGTGTGTTGCTCTGGCCGTCTAAACTTCTTCCTTGTCTGCAACCCTAAGGTAGACACACCCTAGGCCCCTGAACCTCTATAGAGCACTTATCGACAATCCCAGAACCCGCAACCCTAAACCGCCAATGAGAGAGCAATCCTCACGTTTCACCGCCGAGTCGGAAGGAACGCAGGCCAAAGCACCGCTCCTGTTCCTAGGATTCAGAGCAAAAAAGCACGGGTGGTTTAAGGTTTCGGGCCCTAAGCCCTAAACCCTAAACCCTTTTACGGTTTAGGACTCAGGAACAACAAGGCTCCTTTCAAAAAGCAGGACTCCGATAACGGATCTGCAGAGGCTTAGGGGGTGTCTTTTTCGGAGTTCATTCTGTAGGGCCTCCTTTTTTTGTAGGGATTTGGGTTTTGGGGGTTTGTGTCTTCGGAACGAGGGCTCTGTCAGAAGTCGCGGTTTATGCGTGGGGGCTTAGGACGTATAGGGCTTCGGAGCACCCAAGGACCGTCAACCCGAAGTCCTGCAAACTTGATCCAGTCCTAAACCCCGAGAGGCTAAACCCCAAACCCTAAACCCTCAACCTTCAACCTTAAACCCAAACCCCGAGACGCTAAACCCTAAACCAAGAACTCCGGGCCCAAAAGACTTGAAGCTAAGAACTAAAGTCTACCCCGAAACCCTATAAAGCCTTCCTTTTGAGGGTTCCTTACTATGATATTTCTTTATATAAGTCCTTAACAAAGTAAGTTCTTTGGGGTCCAGGTAAACCCGAAAGTAGATCCCCATTGCTTTGCCAAGGCGGCCGTCGTGCCTGCTGCAGCCATGCCAACGACGACCACGACCACCACAGTCGAAACCTCAGCCCGTTTCGGATGTGGGCTTTGTGATTCAGGGCTGAGTTTGAGGGCGTAGTTTCGGTTTAGGGTTTGGGGTTCGCTTCGAAGGCCAAAGGTGTGAACATCTCGTCAATGTCCTGCTAGCGAACCTCGAATGCAAGCCCGGCAGAGGGTTTCACCTCAAACTTTGGAGAGCCTCTTCTAATACGATGATCTCAGGATGTTTCAAGGCAGATTGCTTAATTCAGGTGCAGGGCCCATACCCCCCTCAAACCCCGCCCTTTAGGCTAGAACCCTTAAACCCTAAAAGACCTACCCGAGCCTAAGCCCAGAACCCCCAAATCCAGGCCCTGGAAGTGCGACCCACAGGCGAAACACCATCCCCTCAGGCCTAGAGCCCCAAGACCAACTTAGGGGTTCAGGGGTTTAGGGGTTTAGGGTTTAGGGGTTTAGGGGTTTAGGGGTTTAGGTTTAGGGGTTAGGGGTTTAGGGTTTAAGGTTCAGCCCCCTGAGGCCCAGAAGCCCAGAATCCCGAAACATTAAGCACCAAACGCCTTTTCAAAAACCCCAGGGCTATCCGAAATTTCGACACCCGAAAAGATCAAGTCGCTAAGCACAGAACTCCCGAAGCCCTCGCCGCCCCAGCCCAGAAGCCCCAAATCAGCAGAACCTCCCAAGACTCTAAAGCTCTAAGCCGCCTAAACCCTAAAGCCCTAAACGCTAAAGCCCTAAACCCTGAACCCCTAAACGCCTAACCCCTAAACCCTAAACCCTAAACCCCTAAAGCCCTAAAACCCTAAAGCCCTAAAGCCCTAAGCCCTAAAGCCTTAAAGCCCTATAAACCCAAGGACGATCCGGAGGAGTCTGCGCTTGCACCGGAGGCGTCTGAAAGGGGCTGGGCTTTCGGGCCCACTTCATGTGTAAACCGGTGCCGTACTATATTGGGGACCCCAGTTTAAAGAACTACCCATTCAGGGTTTTTGAGGGTTCCTTTTTGCGGGTTTAGGGCTCTTTCAAGGGCTCCTTTACTGGGCTCCTTTAAATTAATGGAAACTACAGGTGGGGAGTTTAGGGTATATAGGGCTTCTATAGCGCTACTATAAGGTATATAGACCTTTTAGAAGGCTCCTAAGGCATATAGACCTTCGAGAAGGCTCCTATAACGGTAACTACCCACCTGAAAATGTCCCAGGTTTAGTTCTCTTTGAAGAAAGCAGGCGTATATCCTGAGCCCTAAACATCAAGCCTTAAACCCCACACCCTAGACCTTAAACCCTAAACCTTCAACCTTAGACCCCAAACCCTAAACCCTAAACCCTAAACCCCACACCCCAAACCCGAAAACCCTCAACCCTAAATCCTAAACCCTGAACCCCAAGCCCTAAACATAAAAACCCCACGCGCCCTAAGACATAAGCCGTAAATCCTCGACCCTACACCCGAAACACCAACGCCCACAAGCCAACATCCGAAACTCTAAACCCTAAACCCTAAACTTCCTAGACCTTAAACCCTAAACCCTAAACCCTCTGTTTCTTATGTCTGCTTCAATGTTTTTGCGAAAAGCGGTCCATCGGGACCGGTGTTCCCCGCAAAAAGCGGTCAATCGGAGTGTAGGGCTTGCACTTTAGGGCTTGGGCTTTGGTTTGGGCTTTAGTTAGGGTTTGTACTTTAGGGTTTGGGCTTTAGTTAGGGTTTGTACTTTAGGGTTTGGGCTTTAGTTTGGGTTTGTACTTTAGGGTTTGGGCTTTAGTTTGGGTTTGTACTTTAGGATTTGTAGTTAGTTCTCTAAGTTAGGGTTCCTTTTTGGGCCCCCAAAAAAAGTACGGCACCCCCTATTAAAAGGACCCTAAAGCCCTAATTTAGACAACTGCCCATCAAGTCGAGACTTTTAGCCGCAAAACAACAATCCGAGCCTTAAATCCCATGGATGCCTTGCAAAACGACAAGCAATGAAGCACCCGATGACCTCAACACTCACGACCCTCAAACCTAATGTAGGGGCCTTAATACTTAGAAGAGGGTGTTGGGGTCCATTATACTGTCGTTCTAAAAAGGAACCCCAAAGATAGTATAGGTACTTATTCAGGCTCCTATGTTACACCCCAAGACATCCCTTGAAATGCGCGACAGATCGCGAAGAATGACAAGGACCCTTGTGCCAGCCTCAGCTGGGGCCTGCACAGGTGCCTGAAACCATGATATGCCACCCTGATCCCCCAAGGGTTTAGGCCAGTTTAGGCTTTAGGGCTCAGGGTTTAGGCTTTAGGGTTTAGGGGTAATGTTTTGGGACTTAGGGTTGCGTGCTCTCAGTGGGTCTCACAAGAATTGTTCAGCAGCTCACGGGCAGTCAGCTAGCAGACTTGTCAGGCAGGGCGTACTAGAGCTGCGTAAGAATACGTAGTACGAATCACGAACAGAAGGCGGGCCTACATAAACGAGGACTTCAAGCAGTCGAGAAAAGATCTAACTACTGGCAACACCCTCACTCCTGAGTCTCCAGTGTATCTCCACCTGGAGAAGGGCGGGTACAACTGTTTAGGGTGTAGGTTTAGGCCGCTGCAACTGTAGGCCGCCCGCTTGGCGGTAGCGCCTACGCGCTTTGTAGATATGTTTTCCATGTGCCATAAGAGCATCGGTAGCGCATGGCGGTCGTAAAAAGCCCTAATCCCTACCCCTAAACACTAAACCCAAAGCCCTGAACCCTACCCCTAAACTCCTAAACCCCTAAACCCTAAACCCCCAAACCCTAAACCCCAAACCCTAAATCACTAAACCCCTAAACCCCTGAACCCCTAAAGCCCTAAACCCTAAACCCCTAAACCCCTCCTCTTGTTGGAGAGCCGGGGTTTGGCTCTCGTCTACAGAAAATACTCTTCCTCGAGGCTTTCACTCTAGGCCCACTTCCCTAAACCCCAAACCCCAAGCTCCCAAACCCTAAACCCTAAACCCTAAACTCCTAAACTCCTACACCCTTACTTAACTCTAGACCCCTAAACCGTAAACCCTAAACTCCTAAACTCCTCAACCCTTCTGAAACCCTAAACCCTAAACCCTCAAAGTCCTAAACCCTAAACCCTGAAAGCCAAGCCGACTTCTCGACCAAGGCACCTCTGACCAGGCC